CCTCCAATTGAAAGATAATGACAGATAATGAATGGGGTGACAGCGACTCCAGCTGATTCAAGGATACAGGGGAGCTTGTTTGGGGCAAATGGAGACAGTTCATCTCCTATCCTGCTTGTCTGTTCTGTTCAGTCTTCACCTCGCTCCGCCCTTAGAGACATGGACAGGGAGCAATAGGTGCACACCAATGTGGTAACTCAGCCTGCTAACCCTGAATCAGGGAGATAGTTTCTGGAATTTACTGTGAGTAAGGGTGAGCCATCAGTCCACCTGGCTGCCTTCCATGTGCCCCCCTCCTTTAACTCGATAAAGCCCCTTACAGCCGCCCATCCCCTCTCTGTTTCAATCCTCTTCCATCCTCTCCCTCTCTTTCTTTGCTTATAAGTCAGCCTCTTGCAGGGCCATTAGGCTGGGACCCTGCACTGCCTTGTCGTATAAAATTGTGAGCCTATTATTCATTTATTTGTTTATGCATTTCAAAATGATGACCTCTCTCATATGTCTGTTAACCTTATAAATAAAGGTTCCTATTCACCCAGGCGTGTGGTTGTGGGGCAGAAGACTAAATACTGTGAAATATTGCCCTCGCTTGGCTGGAAAGAGAATTGCCTCTTTGTTTTGCCCCCCACTTGATTTAGCGGTGAACTTTTTCACATCCTGTCACTTTTAAAGCAAAGGAGTGCAATATATTTTACTGGGGTTTTGTGTGATAGACAAAACAAAGCAATACATAAACAGGACATAAGAAAAGAATAGTTTTCAATTTCTTCGACAAATGAAATTTGAAAACTTTGTTGAGCCGTTGTGTTGCCCTGTAAGTGATTCCATCTGTCTTCCTTGATAATAAAATAAATAAAAATGTAATTCCTTAAGCATTAAGTAACCACTATCGTGCTTAACCGTAACAATTTTTTTTTCTTTATGGTTTTGTGCAGTATTTTTTTTTCCCTTCCACCTGCATTATGCATGTAGGTATGAGCAGAACACCTTCCATCACGTGCTGTTGATCTATCACAGAGAAAATCCTACGAAAATACCTTGAAGTTTGTAGTTATTACATGACAAAAGATGAAAAAGTTCATAGCGTTTTATCAGTTGATCATAGCCGTCAGTGCAGTACCACAACATTGATTGCTTGAGGCATTCTCCTTTAATATGAGGCTGTGCTTGCGGAGTATTTTATTATGGGCACACATTTTAATGGGGCTGAGATTAATACCTCTGTCACGGGGGTTGATTCGCCCATCCACCCACATACCCCCCCCCCCACACCCCTTGCCTCACATTTTCTCCCCAGATTGTGCTCTGCTCTGCAGATCAGAGGCGCAGGCTCACGGCCTTCATATGAATGGGATCCTATAAAACCTACAGTCAAACTAAAGTGCCGTACCCAGCTGCGTTATGAGCAGAAGTGGAGGAATGCGTCATCTCTCGTATATTTCGTCCAGCCCTCGCCAGCTGCTTTATTATATCCAAACCCTCACTTCCTAACTCCCCGCTAGAATTTTGTGGTTAGAGCCTGCATCATCTCCATCCACCGCCAGCCAGCAGGTGTTTCTGGGTGGCATCTCTCAGCAGGCAGCCGCGGAAATCAGTCAACCCGATTGAAACAGCCGTAAATGCTTGTTAATATTTTAGTTTCCTTTGTGACTTTTCTTTTGAGCTGTGCTGCTATGCCACTGCAGCTAATTTCCTTTGAAGGGGAGACAGCTGTCAAGAGAAACGGGAGCAAAGTACAAATGGACATCTAATTAGTTTTTCTGGCATCATTTCACATGCAAACTTTTAACCACTTCTTTTCTCTCTCCCTCTCCGGTTTGAAATCCTTTTTTCCACTGCAGCTTCTGATCGGTCACTCAGCCCTCAGGCAGGCACTCTCTGCTTTTGACTTTTTGTTGGGATGCATAGCAGTGCTATATTACAATTAGCATTGTTTAAAACAATGGCCACATAGCCCTGCCCAGTTGCTATGGTGTTGAGTAATAGCTTCCATTAGAAAATTAATTGGGATGGCGGTGGCAGGCCCTGATGGCCCTTGATATGAATCACAATATTGATGCAGAGAATGGGAGCAATAATGACTTCAATTAGTGGTAATTGTCAAGTTTTTTTTTTTTTTTTCCTCAGTTCCACGGAGTATTGAATAAAGACAATCAAGTGTCTTTATTCCCACTTGATTTTATTTTTATTTTTATTTTTTCTGTTCTCTGTTCAGTGTATCTGGCGTGACTCTGTGTTTTGGCCCTCCGACATGATGAATATGTAAGCTTTAAATATTTAATTAAAAGAGATTAAAATCAAGAAGAGAATTGGATTTGGATTAAGTTGGGAAGATTAAATGATGTCAAAGTAGCTTAATTGCAATATGCCACCCTCTCCATTTTGCTCATGCCCACCTATTGTACATGCACACACATGCAAACACCTGGGTTGCAGATATAGACATTTATTTTGTCCCAAAGCAGTCAAGTCAGCACCTCCTGTCGTGGCAGCCACCATCTGTTTTGTCTCCCAACATTTCCTCCTTTCCAAAGGTGTTTTACAGAGCCCAAAGACACTGCTGCACTCCGCAGTGATGTGTATATGTGCCAACAGTCCCGTCGCCTTTTTCTGCACTTCTCATTGCCTGTTTCATCACTGCCGTTCAATATTGATGTTGTTCTTTACCTAAATCTTCCCCGCGGCCAACACTTTGCAGGGGTAGGAGGGAATGCAAATAGGGATGCAAATTAGGAGTTGGTGAAAACCAGTGAGCTGCTCCTCTTCTGAAGGTAACCTCTGGCTCCAGACCATGTGACTAATTGCTTGTCAAATAATTCATATTCAGACAATGGCCCAAACTATCCCGTTTGGCTCAGCAGGAGGGGGACACTTGGCTAAGTTTTGTCAGCAAACATGGGCCGTGCAAAGAATAGCCAATGTCTTTGCAGCTGACTTTTGGTGCTTTGAGAAACATCAAAGATGCCCCCCTGCTGTTTTATCGCCTTCCATTGTTTAAAAATATTGGCTAGCAATCAGTTTTAATTAACAGATTGTTCAAGGAAGTATCGGCGAGTGGTAATTTTGCACTGTGTGAATTCCATCTCTGTTCTCATTTGCAGGTGAGCAGTTATGAGGAGCTGGTGTTAGAAAAGGTCTCTGAATGTCTGAGTTAGCCGTTTGCAAGTGCCAAGGCTGGTGCATCATCCTGCCACTCTAATAAGGAACCATTAGATTTGAATAATGGGATGTAATCAGTTGGGTTTAGCATGCACCTGGATGATGAATTGCATTATGAATGTGTAATGGTGCATCAGTGCTCTCCACTTCAGACTCATGCAATGAGACTGCAATATTAAATTAGACACAGTTGGTTCCAGGGCTCAAATGGATCCAGTCAATCACATTTGGCGCAGATCATGTGCGCCAATGCCTTTCCCAAGCATGGAAGTAGAAGCAGGAGGGTTGTGTGTCGGGTTAGCAACGTGACTTAGCAAAACTCCAACTCACGTCTACAACCAGTTTACTAGAAAAGGCAGATGTAAGACGCTAAAAGTGACAAGAAGAAGTTAGAGCCCTGGTAAGCCTGTTTCTGAGTGCAAACGACACCAAACATCACATCATCAAATTTCCAAACTTTTAATTTGAGTATATTTTAGGCTGGATGAGAAACCATATTTATTTTTATATTTGAAGTATGGGGGATTAAAAATATCCTCAAGCTCACTGCCACAAAGCATCACATAATGATCGTAAGAACTTTGACATCCTGAATTAATGCTGAAAAAAATATATATTTTCTGTCCTACTGTCATAAAAGTAAATCTGTGGAGCTTAATGAATATTGTATTCATTAATATTAAAATTCATTGAATGGGTCTGGGTATGTGGGAAATCACCTCATGCTTGTTGTTATACATCATAGCTGATTTGGGATGCTATAGGCTTGTTCTGTCGTACCGTCACAAAAGTAAATATGTTGAGCTTGAAAGATTCTTCTGGGAGTTTAACTGGAACTGACACCTTTTGTCAAATAGAAGTTTGCTGTCAACTCTTCAGGAGGGAATATTAAAGTAAGACAAAGGATGAAAATGTAAAAAGTCACATTAAGCTCACAGTTGAATAAGGTAGAGACTGTTCTCTAGAGTCTTTGTTAGAGTGCACAGCAACATAAACGTTCTGGATGTGAATCTGGTGGCCTGCACCGGTAAACTGGAAACAGTCACTGGACCTAGCAGCAGGATAATGATCCAAACATATGAACAAATCAAAATGGAAATTCTTCATTTGGCACAAAATCAACCTTCTTTCATGGACATCTGCAAAGAGGGACGGTCAAAGGCTTCACTCTCCATGTGGTCCAACCTTGTGAAGTGTTAAAGGAGATGACTTTACGGCAGGAGAAACAACTGTGGCACCAGATACATCTTAACACTGAATCCTTTTTCCTGCTTAAAAAAGGTTGAACTTTTCTAAATTTCTCAGTGTGAAATTATGCAGCTGCAATGGATGATGATTTTAATACACACTTTCGCCAGTGGTGCCAATAAATGTAGCTAGCACTGAATACTTTCAACCTTGAATTGATTAAATCTGTTAGAATAGCTGGAGGCAAAATAGTTGTTGGTATGTGAGTAGCCGGCAAGGGATTAATGGTGATGGTTATTATCCTTCTTATTATAATTATAGTGTTTTTGCTCATAAAAGACCTTATTTAACACGTGGAACTTTTCAGCGTCATCCTTCTGTCTCTCGGTCTCCCTCTTGTCTCTTTTCCTTGTCTTTCTGGTTTTTTTTGTCTTTTTTTGCTGTTGTTATCGTTGTGTCTTTATGATAAATGGGACATAAATGAGCAATGCGTTAAGTATCTTATTTTGAGAGATTCTATCTCAAGAGAGTTGTGAATTGATCTTTTTTTGTTCCTCTGCATCTGTTCCCTCTGCTCTCCTCTCTCTGTGTTTTTGCTCTCCATCATGCAGTCCTTGCATCACTTTATGCACATCAATCTTTCTCTCCCACAGCCCGATGCCAAGCAGTGCAAGCAGAGAATGTGACAGTCTTGGAGGGAGGCACTGCCCAGATCTCCTGCCGCCTGCAGAACTACGATGGCTCAATTGTGGTCATCCAGAATCCCCGCCGGCAGACTCTCTTCTTCAACGGCACGAGAGGTTTGTGGCTGCAGATCCATCTGCGTGGATGCATTTGCCATTTCTGACATTTGTTGGAGGCTCTGGCTTGAACACACCAAGCCTTCACATTTTGTATTATTCTTCCTGATAATTCTCATTTTGCCTGAGAAGTATTTCACATTAAAGATTCAGATAATCACCAAGTTAATTGAAGTTTATTCTAAACTCATAGCGGTACGGTGGTTTTAAAAGCATAATTAGGAGCTTTCTACATAATCCAGGGTTAACCCCATTGATGAGATCAGGGCTTATTTCAGTCCTCATTAGAGCACAACCTTGCAAAGTTATTTCTATATATATAGATATATATATATATATTTTTTTTTTTTTTTTTTTTTTTTTTAAAAAAAATTTCATGGAAAATTATTCTTGTAACCAATATTATAAAAAAGGCACATTTAATTTACGTCCTGGGGGTGGGCAAACATTAGATGTTTTTACTTGCTAATTAAATGCAAGGGCAAGTTGCTACCTTCACCAGACTCTGTGTAAGTGCTGCTGGGAAACCTTCGAG